TGCGCTCGCTTTAAAAGCTGGCGATTGAAGACTTAACTTACAATCAGCATTCAATAGCGAACAAGTGAAATTAAAAGATCGTGCGTGCAATAGTTAAAGAAATTTTTAAATAATTTCAAATTGCCTATATAGAGCACATATAAAAAACATAAAAAAATACTTAAAAAGTTTATTTAATTGAATAAGCAAAAAGCCTTTAAATATTCGCTGCTAAACAACACTTGTTGCAGAACAGGACATTTTTAAACGGTATTGTGTTATTTACCGACTGAAGTACATATAAATTTATGTTTAAATATTGAACTTTGCGAAAGCATAAAAAAATATTAAGAAAATTATTTAAACTTAAAAATTTGCAAGTCCGACTTTTTAAACGCCAAATTACAAAATTTTGTACGAAATAACGCCATTTCCATTTCGTGTGCATTATTCTGTGATAATTTGTATTAACAAAATTAAATAAATTTAACAAACAAAACAAATCAAAATGTCGCTAACACAAGTGAACAGTAACAACAACAAAATTAACAGTGCACTGGATTGTTGCGAATCGCGCACAGTACACACAATTAATACGAAACATTTGCCACAGCAACAACAGCATAGTGTCAAAGTGTCATCGACAAGTGCCGCCAGTGCAACAGATTTCATCACTGGAAATACCGCTATATGCCAAAAGTCAGCGACGAAAGGCGCTTTAACAGCGAAAATGCAAAGCGCCGCATTAAATTGCCAAACGCGCGCACGCAGAAGGATGCCGATGATGAGTAAGTCAACCAAGTAAACCAAAAAAAAAAAGAAAAACTAAACAAAAACAATAAAATAGAACAAAAAAAGTCGAAAAAAACAAATCAGCCAAAAACAAACAAACAATAATGCAAATAATAAATAATAATACTTAATGGAAGGGTAGAGGTGGTGTGACCTATCAAGTTGTTTGTAATAGTGTTCCATATACGAGTACAATCTTTTGGGCTTCCCTCGCTACAAGTTCCTATTATTATTACTGTTTTTAATACAATACACGTTCTTAAAAATTATTGATTGGTTTTATTTTTGTTGTTTTTTTTTTATTTTTTTTTTAATATTCATAATTTTTATTTTTTTTTTTAATTATTATTATTTATCTTTATTATTTTTATATTTCTTTTGCTCGTTAAAATGTCTTCGCGATTTTATCAGAAAATATTTGCTTTAATGTTTTGTTAAACTAAAAGCTGGCAATGATATTGTGCAAACCAACTGCATTACCGCTTTAGTGCCAAAGTTTTGCAATAATCATTTAAAACTGGAACTAAAGTAATGGAATTTCACGAAAAACGCGTAAATTTTATTAGTTTTTAATTAAAGTTTAACGTGTAAAAATTTCATTTTTACTTAAAACAATTGTAATAAAATTTAAATGTGTTCATTGTATATTTAATGATCTGTTTTACCTTTTCCAAATAAGAGCAATATTGTAATGTTTTCCATTGTCATGTAATGTTATTCAATTTATTTAAAAATAATATTTTTTTTAATCTATATCTCCAAAAAAATATTGTAATCTTGTTAATTTTAATTTTGATAATTAATTTTTTCACTTTTTTATTAATTTTATTTTTAAAATTTACAAATTCTTCTAATATTAATAAGGAAGGAAATGCAAATTCTTAGGTCTTTATGGTTTTCATAAAAATATTATAATAAGTATTTTTGTAAAAATATATTCAAATTTACATACATATACCTAGTACATATGTACATGGTTATATGTATTGTACAAGTAGCTAAAATAAAGTAAAATAATTATTAATTTTTTGATCTTAAAAACGAATTTCCTTTAATTTTACTACGCCTCTTTTATTTGAAATTTTAATCTTTCTGAATAAAGTAAAACTTTGAACTTTTTGATTTTTGCAATATTTTTTTTTGGTTTTTGCAAGAAAAAAAATTTTTTTTTTTTGTGAAATTTTTAACTTTCTGAAATATCAAGAAATATCGTATTAAAAATAGTATCGATTCTGCTACCTCATTTCTTATAAAGAGATAAACCTGCTATATATTGCGACCCAGGCAGATTTGGCATATATCTAAACATAACATAAATTTTGCCTGAACGCCTTCAATAAATTATGACGTACGCCTCCGATTAATCTAACTACGAAAGTAGCGCACATTTGTCTTAATATTTTCTCCTTGAAATACTTCGTTAGAAATGTATTTTTACATCCCACATATACACATGTGTGTATATATGTACACACAATATATTCTATATTGTTAAGCTTTTTTTAACATCTGCTTAACTAAGCGGTAGCCAATGGCAACACGCCTTGCATATCCACTTCTTAACTATACTAAATGAGCATACAAATGTACGTGAAGGCAAACAGACACACATTCACATGTAAGATGGAGTGCATTTAGCTTTGATATGCTACTACATATGTACATACATTTGTATGTCTGTATGTAAATGGCGTTATATAGTATATTTGCTTAATTAATAATAATGTGATGAAATAAATATAATTGCAGTGATTGCTATAATTAAAAAGCAAACAGGAGTCACATACACACGTGGAAAATGCGAAGCTGTTATTTAGCTCAATTGTTTTAAGTAGCGAACAAACAGGATACTCTTCAGTGATTTTCCTTTACAGGTCAACGCGCATCCGCCTACTAGCGAAGCACTATGCAAGCGATACGTGTTGCGCGCGCCCATGTGTGTGTGTGTTTGTATACGTAGATAACAATTCAAGCAAGTGTGTTATTGAATGAAGTGTATTAATGAATGAATCAATGACATACATTAATATTAAAGAAATGGCAATGCAGTATACTTTTGTAAACATTAGCAAATAATTACTAACAATTAAATGAAAAAGCGAACAACAAATTAAATAAGTAATAAATCAAATTTTTATAGTAAACAATAGTTTTATCAAAATATTTACAAAATAATTGTAGCAAATACATAGCGGTGCTAGCCTGTGCCATTACAACCAGACAACGCGACGACGTCAGTTACTTTTGTGTTTACAGATGCCCACTTTGTAATGTTAGTCATATGCAAAAATAAATTATTGCTTTAAAAAACAAAACAATTACAAAAAAAAAAAAAATCTATCAATACTGCACATATTTTCATATAAAGATGAATAGAAATATAACAGAGTATTGTTGGTGCTTACAAAGTATGACAATTATAGTGGTCCGATTCTTAGGTTATACCGTTGCTTTTGCGAACAATCCATGCAAAATTTTGTGAAGATAACTCATAAAATAAAGAAGTTTTCCATACAAGAGATTAATCTTGATCGTTCACTTTATATGACAGCTATATGCGATATGGGTTCGATATGAGTAATTTTAACAAAAATGCAGCGTCTTGGGGAGAAAAGAGAGGTGTGTAAAATTTCAGTTGAATATCTCTAAAACTGATGGACTAGTACGCGTACCGACTTACATGGCTTCATGCTGATTATTTATAAATACATACATATGTATATAGGTTACAAAGCCTCTAACATTTCCTTCTGAGTGTGACGAACTTATTTGCAAACTTTATATACTCTCTTCAGCGTGTACAAACCAAATAAGTTAAACATAGTATAACTACTTTTACTCCTACTACCAAATAAATTTTCATAATTTCTTAAAATAATTGTAACTCCAAATATTTATGCAAAACACATAAATAATTAATAAGCAAAGGTAACAAAAATATAATAACACACACTTACTAGTATATTTTATCAGTCATTGCGGTTGACAGTGCTATTTAAGAAAGCTCCACTCAACCGCACGACCACACACATATGCACATATGTATGTATGTAGCTCTTGCAGCAAATATAACATTTTCCATATATTGCATACAAGTATACACCTTTTAAAACAACAACCAACAAGATTGCTTCACATTAAAATCGTTGCTTTTAATTACAAATGATAATTAGTAAATTTCTAATACTCAGCTATGTCTGCCACAAATGCGCACACACACACAAACAGGCAAGCAATTGAAAATTGCAGGCGACTCATCTGTGCTATGCGCTTGACTAAATGCCTTTCAAAGCTACAAAAAAAACGCAACAAATTGTAAAAAAAAAAACAATTCACAGCAACAACCGGCAGCAGACGGCAGTAAATTTCTATTATTGGCGGCCTTTGCCTTGATCTTGACAAAAGCCCAGACAGTTTAAGTCTCTAAGTCTGACTAGATTACACTTCGACCACCTGTCAAGCACAATTACGCACATATCTACATCTACATATCCGTCGCCGAAGCGGTAAATTGCAGATCAATCGAGCAACGCGTACGCCGCATGCCAACACGCTCCTCCACACGCATACTTTGTTGCAGCAGCTTGTGCTCTTTAATAAATTCTACAAATTACTGTGTGTACGCTTTAGTTGCGCTAATTGCACAGCTTTATACATAATATATATATAATGTATATACATACATATATAAGTATGGATGTACATTGCTTTGACGCATAAGTATATTAAAACGCAGCAGAAATTTCTTCACCGCTACTTGACAGCACAACGCTGCCATTGCGAATTTTGCATTGGTTTTTAGCGCATTTGCTGGCAGCGAGTTTTTATAGTGTGCGATAATTTCGCAGCGTTCATTGGTGTATGCAGCAATTGGCCGAAGCAATTCGCTCGCTCAGGTGTATTCAACCAAGCATGTGTATGTGCGCTAGCTTTTCAGCCTATCATGTGCATGCGGTAGTGCGTGCTTTGATATGCGCTTGTGATAAATGATATCGTATGGCTTATACATATACATATGTGTTGAGAAATTTATGCGCATTTTAGGACTCAAAGCTAATGTGCTTTGGTAAAGGAAATGATTTGTGTAAATAAAACATTTTATATACAAATATAATTGAGTTTAAAACATAATTTCTTGTCTTTTCCATTAGTTGTATGTATGTGTTACCCAAACCTGCCTCAAATTCACCATTTCTCATATATTTCTCTTTATTTTTTTCTACTTACAGAATCTTATATACTCCTGCCAATCGTTTGCATTGTCATATTGGCGCAAATTTCCACTTCTTCAGGTCGAACATTACACGGAAGAAAACGAATTCTACACTCATTAGAGAATCGCCTGCAATATCACAAACAATTAATGCAGTACGAACGTGATAATTTATCCCCTATACTACATAGTCTACAACCGCAACGTCGTCATCACTTGAATGTGCGTTCGACCAAAATGTGCCCAGAAGAACGTATGAAAGCAGCTCTAGAAAGTATACGAAATCAATCGCTTAAATCGCACAGCACGCTTTTGAGGCAGATTGATGAATTTGTAAGTAACAGTACATTTAAAAAAAACTACAAATTAAGACATTTCAATAACACTAAACAAAAATAAATTTCAATTTAAAACTAAAAAAAATTGATTTTTTTCCGCGTTCTTCATTTTTAAGAAAAAAAAAATATAATAATATAATTTTCCAATATACCATATATCCAATACTTTTCGCAATAAAATTAAAAAAGAATATACTATATTTCAAAATATTAAAATGTGATCTGAGTTTCGACATGTAAATCTAAAATATATTCGCGCAATTTAATTAAATTTGTTTATTACAAATTTAGTATTGTCTCAGCTAGTTTTTGTGAAAGAAATGTTCTTTACTTTAATTTAGCAAATTTCTCCTTATTTTCCAGACTAATGTTCGTTTTAATGAAACTAAGGAGAAAACCCTCCACAACTGGAGCAAACATAGTTTAAGTTTAGAACATAAATATAATAAATCAATCACCCGTCAAATTAAATTGGATATAAAAACATGTAAAAATGTGAATTCAGCACAAAAATCAATGGCCGAAAAATTGGTAAGCATTAAATATGAGTTTATCTATATATATCTAATATCTAATAGTAGGATTTTTACGCAAAAGATAAAAACGATAAAAAATTGTTTTAAAACAGTTTAAAATAATGCAGAAGCAATGAAAACTAATAACTTTTCCTTCTTTCTATTGCTAATTCTCTTGTTGCCTATAGCGCGAAATTGTTGACATATATGAAACATTCAAAATCTTGCGAACCGTACTCGAAGAAGTTAAAACTGAGAACAACACGCTGGAATGGATACAAAAATTTAAAAATGAATCCCATGTTATAATCGACTTTTTGCAAAGCATACACGACGAGCTCACGAATAATGTAAATGCTGCACAGAGTGCATTCATGAGTACACGAAACTGTGCTTCATTAAATAATGATCACCTTATCAACGAGACCACCATACCCAATTACAACAGAACCGCCCAGGTGAGAGAATGGTTGATAGTTGTGGAAACCCTAAGCTTCTTCAATTATCTAATAACCAAACTCAATGATTTGATGCAAATGTGCAATTAATGTATAGAAATGCAACAAAAAACAAAAACAAATTATGTACTTATATGCCTAAGAGGCCGTCACACCGATTCATTAATAATATGTAAAGGAACACATAAACCAGTAAAAAATTAGGCGGAATAATGTTTTTCATACAGATTTACAAAGAATTTGAGTGTGTGCGATTTTTAGCGAAAGACTTCTACTATATATATATATATGTTTAAAACAATTATGACTTATATTTTATTACTATAAATGAACAAAAAAGGCTTTTGCTTTTGTAGCTTATTATAATTTTCTAATTCCTATTATTAATTTTTAATAATTTAATTAAAGACAGTTTGTTATAGCAACTTGACGGTGCGAGTGCGCACAAAACTTTCGTTTTATATATTATACTGAATTTAGAAAACAATTTTTATTCCAAAGAATCATTAAACAAAACAACTAAAAAAAATAACAAAAAATACTGAAAAATAATTAAATATATATATATATGCAACATTAAGTCGCTGTCAAAGAAATTTGTTTTAAAAACAACAATCAAATAATCATAAAAACATTTCTTTTTCATTTTCCATTATTAAATACTCTTAAATATTTCGTGATGTATGCAAAATTGTAAATTAAGCAAAGGTTATTTCGAAAGTAAAAGCATACTTAAAACCAGTAAAAAAGTTACCAAAAATTTCAAAAAATAATTAAATATACATATGTAATGTAAGCAATTGTAAATTATGTAGAAACGTTAACAATAATGAAGCTTATTAATTTAGCAACGCCAGCGCATAATATAAATATATTTATATCATAGTATTAATTAAAAGAATGACAAATTTTAACTAAACTATTAATTTGTTAATTATTTATTTATTTATAAAATATTTAAAATGCAATTATACACATAAACATAAAAAACTTATTTATTACACCAAAACATTAAAGAAACACTAAAGATATATGAAACTCTTATTTATTTATTTACTTTGTTTTCGGAAAAAAACTCATAGAAGTTAAATGTTGGCAGCAAGTGGTCACAAAAATTATTAAAAAAGCAAAAAAAAAAAAAATGCCAGCAAAAAGACAGCAGTTGTTATGCCATATAATGATGTGATCGCATCAATAGTATGCCAAGTCTTATACCAGCATAAAAATATGCATATGACATAGCAGATGAATGATGTAGTAATGCGTGAGTTTACAAAAAATGAAAATGCAATATGCTTTTGATTTGACTTCACATCACATATTGTTATCACATAATTAAATAGCAGCTGAAGGCTGTAGTAACACGTGTGTTTACAAAACATGAAAATGTGCATATGATATGATGTCACATCGCAAGCTTCTATCATATAAGTAAATAGCATGTGAAAGCTGTTGAAACAAAGTTATGTTTGTATAGCTTGAAATTATATTCCATCATATGAAAATTCAAAATCGTCAAATTAGAAAAACACTAGCAAAAATCTCAAACTGCTTTTGTAAACAAACTTTAAAAGTGAACATGTGACTTATACCACAACTTAAAATTCAAAATGTCAATCTTATGCTTTGTTGACAGCTGCCAATGATGAAGCTTAACAATTTAAATAAAATCATTTTCGCTTACACTCAACACTTACATTTAGTATTTATGAAAGTTTAGTTGTGTCTCAATTTTACTGCTCATATTTATATATTTATTACATTATTAGTAATTATTTCCACTTGTACAAATCACATCTATGTAAGTATGTAATATGTATATTGCTGTTGTTATGAAAACTAAACTTACAGAGAGAGCTGACCGAAATGTTAAAAATAAAATTACAAAGTGGCATCACAATTCAATTAAGAATTCACACATATACATATAAATAAATAAAAACTACCGAAAAAAAACCAGAACTAAGTTAAAAAATCAAGCAAAAATTAAAACAGAATATGTTCAATAAAAAATGTGGCTATGCATGTACTTAAAGTAAAATATATAAATTTAAAAAAATTATAAA